CATTTCTTATATAACACTGATTTGTACACAAATAAGGATTAGCCTCTTACATAAAAAAAAAAAACTTAATAGTATCACCCAATTTTTACTCCCTAATCTATTATTTATGTCTAACAAACTGTGTTTGACCACAAATCATTTTTTTAGTGCATTTTTAAAAAATATTTATTTATTTATTTATACAAGCACTGGGCACAGTCAGATGCACGGGAGGATGAGAGAATTCACCAGAGCCAGAGTGGGGAAGAGAACAGGCAGACTGATGAAATACACTGCTGAGGGGAGCAGCGGCCACTGCAAGAGAGGTCTGCACGCCATGTGGGACCCCTGCTGGCGGCCAGGGATAGAACGGGTGCTACAGAGGCTGCAGGCAGCTTCGCAGCCCAGCGCTCAACTGCTGCGGCACCAGGGGAGGTCCGACCACAAATCATTTTTAAACGTAAAACTGCTATTCTGAGAACATTAGAAATATTTTGTTAACCTAATTTCAGATATAAAATATTTGTGAAGCAATAATAGCATCATTTCCTTGACAAGAGTCTATATATTCAACTGGCTTTCTCAGAATTAATCCAAAATGATTTTAAAAACAAGGAGTACAAATTTTCTTAAAATATTAAAGTCATTAAATAAAAAGTCCTACTTTCACTTGTAGCTTTATTTAAAAACTCCTTGTCAAGGTCAAGAAAAAGACAAAACCTGGAAGCTGGCCATATAACTGAGACATACAGCAAGAGAAGGGAAGGGAATGGGGGGGTCAAGGTAGGGAAGGGAAGAGCACAAGGGAATATGGTGATGGGTCCTGGCTGCTATGGTGCTGAAGACTATGGAGACTACACCTGAAGGGACAAACCAATTACAGTATAGAAATGAACAACAATGCAAGAAAATAAAAAAATTCAAAAAATAGGGCCTCCCAGGTGGCACAAGGGGTTTAGTACCACACTATGAAGCAATCTACAGCCTCTGCAGCTCCAGTTCGACCCCTGGCTGGCCAGGGAGCAGCCCACATGGCGCAGCAGACCTCTCCTGACTCACCCGCTGCTCCCCTCAGCAGTGTACTTCGTCAATCTGCCTCTCCTTTCCCCACTCTGTCTCTGGTGAGTCCTCTCACCCCACACACCTCTGGCCTGTACCCCAGCTCTTGTATGCATAAATCTTTAAAAAAAAAAATTAAAAAAATAAAAATCTCCTTGATTTCATTAATGTTTTATTTCTAAAATGTATTTTTAAAAACTGTAATAATCAGGTTATTTTCCTTTTTAAATTTAATTAATTTCATTATTAATTTATTTATTTAATCATTGTTCCTTTTTGTACAGTTTAATTTCTCCCCTCAGATGTAATCCCCATAAAATTCCCACCACCAAATCACCCATTAACTGTCACCATAGTCTCTTGAGCTTTTACCACCCCTATTTTGACCCCTCTCACTCCTCCTACACTACTACATGTCTCAGATTTATAGTTTGCCTGCTAGTTCCCCCCTGCTCCCAACTCCTTATTTGGTTTCCCTGTATTTGTCCTTTAACTGAAATAATAATAAGATTATATTCAAAATAAATTTAAATAATAAACTATGCCACCTTGAAGCCCTATGTTTGCCAATGATAAACACTAGTGCTAATTTGCTTGTAGCACATAGGTGTTGTGAGGCTTAAATGAGACAAAACATGAAAGAAAATACAAAAGGAAAAACCTTAGTTTTAAAAGTAGATTGTCCATTCAGAAGTCTAACCACACCATAGTTATCATCTACGACCATCAGTACTAGCAAAATAAAGTATTTGTTCAAAAAGCAGTGTGATATTGAAGTTCAAACCTCAAGTTCCCCTAGAGCTCAATTTACAGCAAGATAATGAGACAGTTAAAGGAGGGGAAAAATGACTCTCAGGAGTAAAGTCATATTATAATGATCACAGATTTAACAGAATGAATTTATTACTAAATAGGAGAAACTCCAGACATATATTAAAAATGAATTTTGAACAGGAATGAAATAGGAAGAGCAAGTTGACACCAACAGATGTTTTCAAAAATGCCATTTCATGAAAAATACTCTACTCCCACCCTCATTTCTATAGAAGCTATCACAACAAATTCTGTTGATGGGTAATTCTGCCAATCTTCCAATTTCCTGACCAATTTTTTTCCTATTTTTAAGGAAATGGGTAAGCATTGCAAATTCTGATTTCTTGGTGTGAGAATGGATAAATAAATGTAGCTATCGGGATTACCATTAAGTAGTTAACATTTATTTTTACATCTTTCAAGTAATCCAGGTATCAGCTGATGCAAAATGACAATACATACTTTAAATAGTGCTAAATTGACAAATTTATTTATCTTTCCTATATTTAAAAGCATTTTTAACAAGACATGTTTTTCCAACTAGTTTACGTCACACGATATAATAGTAGTAAGCTAACATTATTAATTAAACTCTTTTGGAGTTAAGATATACAAACTCCAAAATAAAAACACACTAGAATAAACATACCAATATTCCATGTCTCCTATTAATTAATTATGCACATAGAAAAACAGAAATGAGTGTCGCTTAGTCTAATATTAATTCAAAAATTATATACTCATTCATCAATGGATCATTCATTCTTCAAAATATATTTTGATCGTGTTTAGGCTTAAGAGAAAAGATGAGCCCTGCGATTCACTCTTTAATCTTAGGGCATCAACTCCCTAAGAAATATTATACTGCTTTTAATTCTAAACTTTCCTTTAAAATCTCGTTTGAGAAAACTACTGAACATTGATAAAAGACAGAAGACAATGAAATGGAAAGACATTCCCTATCATGGATCAGCAGAATTAACATTATTAAAATGGCCATCCTACCCAAAGCAATTTAAATATTCAATGCAGCTCCAATAAAAATCTCAATGGCATTCTTCAAAGAAATAGAGCAAATATTGGTGAAATTCATATGGACTCACAAAAAATCTCAAATTGCCAAGCTCTCCTGACTAAAACAAGAAGTATGGAGGTATTACACTCCCACTCGTCAAACAAAGCCACAAAAACAGACACACAGACCAATGGAACCAATTTGAAAGCCCAGACTTACAGACACATGTATATGGTCAACTAATCTATGACAAAGGAGCAAAGAATACCCACTGGAACAAAGAGAGTTTCTTCAATAAACAGTACTGAGAAAACTGGACCACTACATGCAAAAGGATAGAACTAGACCGCTATCTCACACCATACATAAAAACCAACTCAAAATGGATTAAAAAACCAACTCAAAATGGATAAAAGACCCAAATATAAGACCTGAAACTATAAATATATAGAAGAAAACATAGGCAAAAAACTCCATGACATAGATCTCAGAAATACCTTTGAGGACTCATCCCCTTAAGCAAAGAAAATAAAGGGAAAGATAAACAGCTGAGACTACATCAGACTAAAAGGCTTCTACAGCAAAAGAGACAATAACCAAAATGAAGAGATACCCTAAAGACTGGGAGAAAATATCTGCACTCCATACAACTGATTAGGGACTTATATCAAAGATCTACAAAGAGCTTATACAACTCAATGAAAACAAAGTAAACAATCCAGTCAAAAAATGGACAGAAGAGCTAGAAAGACACTTTTCCAAAGAAGAAATGCAAATGGCCAATAGGCATATGAAAAAATGTTCAACATCGCTTATCATGAGGGAACTGAGTATCAAAACCACAAATGAGATACCATCTCACAACAGTAAAAAATGTTCATATTTAAAAAATTGCAAACAACAAATGCTGCTAAGGATATAGAGGAAAAGGAACCCTCTTACATTGTTGGTGGGAATGGAAACTGATCTAACCACTATGGAAAGCTGTGTGAAGGATCCTCAAATGACTAAAAATGGATCTACCCTATGAGCCAGCAATTCCACTTCTAGGAATCTATCCAAAGGACACAAAAACTTTAGTTTGAGAGGAAACCTGCACTCCTGTGTTTACTACAACACTATTTACAATAGCTAACATATGGAAACAACAACCTAAATGCCCCAAAACATAACCTGATCAAGAAGATGTGGTACATATACACAACGGAAGCCAACTCAGCAATCAAAAAAGCTAAACTCATGCCATTTGCAGCAACATGGATGGAAGTGGAAGAGATTATGTTCAGTGAAATAAATCAGAAGGAAAAAGAAAAATATTGGATCACAAAAAAAGAAAAATGACAAAATTTATAGGCAATTACAGATCTGAGGCTAAGAGCAGGGTAGGGGGAGGAAGAGGGATCAAAACAAGAGTGGGAAGAACACACAACCATGGTGATGGTTCATGGGTGACGTGGTGGTGAGATATTAATAGGGACTACACCTGAGGGAAGAAATCATACTGTACAAAAATGAACACTGTAAGAAAATTTAAAAATTTAATAAAAGGAAAATATATATATCTTTTTTGAAATTACCTCTAGGGCCTCCCTGGCGACACAGGAGTTAATGTCTCAGTGCTTTCGAGATATTGCCAGCCGCTGCGGTATGAGTTTGATCCCTGGCCAGAGAGCTACCCACATGGTGCAGCAGACCTCTCTGGTGTCCTCTGCTGTTCCCCTCAGTGTATTTCAGTAGATCCGCCCGTTCTGCTCCATACTCTGTCTCTAGTGAACCCTCTCACCCTGTGCACCTGTGGCCTACACCTCCGTATGCATATATAAATGAAAAAATAAGTCTTAGGGCCTCCCCTGGTGGCACAGCGGTTGAGCGCTGCACTGCGAGGCTGCCCGCAGCCTCTGCAGCACTGGTTCGTTTCCCGGCCACTGGCAAAGGTCCCTCAAAAAAAAAAAAAAAAAAAAAAAAAAGTCTTAAAAAAGGAAATTAGTCCCCAAAATATAATTTTTAATAACTCCTCATGTAATGTAATGGGTTTAATGCAGCTAGCAGATACCAGTTTCACTTCTTGAATTATTTGGTCCAATTAGAAGCAGAAATCAGGCAAGTTTTGTTTAAGCATCTATGTTTGTTTTACCATGTCATTTATTTGGCCTTGGTGTCCAGAAAACTCTCTGACAATTTTCCTCGTTTCTATGTCCAGAACACAAATGGAGAAGTCATCCAAAGCAAGTCCCAGAATGCCACTAGTAAGAGAAATATACCAGTTTTATTAAACAAATTTTAATTAATTAAAATCTCATTTTGTTAATCCCTTGGGGAAATTAAATGAGATGCTATTCTTTATTAAAACACTGCGATTTTTCCCACCTGACATATTATGTACTTCACCTAAATTAAGAACTTTTACTAAAAACATCAATAAGAAAATCCATTCTCATTATAAAAGAAAAATTTTACCTGTCTCTATGGAGCAACATTATATTTGGAGATGAACTGAGGCTCATAGAATGGATTAAAATTTTGTTTTTAAAGTTCCAGAATTTGAGTAATCCTTCACTACCAGTTGTCACCATCAACTGGTTTAGTCCATCCACTGCAACACCTCTAACGGAACCTTTATGAGCTTTAAAAAACATTAAAAGAAAAAGAGAAATCAGAACTGGTAGTGTCTCACTGAACATTAACACTGAGTGATTCCTTCATTCAAAATATCTAAGTTATCACTATTTTATCCTCTACAATCTTGAGCTTAATCTGGATTTCAGGAATTAGGGAGAAGATTATAATATTGCTCAAGTGAAAACAAAATTCATCAGGTTTATATCACAAGTTAAAAAAAAAACATTAAAATGGTCTGCATAAAGCAAGAAGAAAACAAAAATTTTAATTCACAGAATGTCTACTTTCCCTTAATTTATCCAACATGGCTTTTATAATAGGTGCAATGGTAATACCTACTATGTAGGTTGATAACAGCCTAATCCACCACTTTAACAAAATGCTCAGAACTCAAGAATTTAATAAATGTCAACCACAGTATTATTTTTAAAAAATTAAGAAAAAAAGAAGTCAATACCTTGATCCATGCCAAAACTTCCTCGATGTATGCCAGACTGCATGTTGTATACATCTACAGCTCCTGATGAGAGACCAATTATAGCAAAGTTTCCACAAGAAGTTACATCCACTGCCTTAGGGGTAAAAAAAAAAAAATTGACTTAACATTTCTACCACTTAATGGTTCCCGAAATATTTTTATCTAAAAATTATTATCTTTTTAAAAATAAGTACATGGTAAATGAATGACTTCACTCATTTTCTTGATTAAAATGTAATTATGTTTGGGTATGTAAGAAAGCTCTGCTTCATTCTATCTCCAGTCTCTAAATCTGAAGAAACGATTATTGAAGGAAATAAAACATGACCAAAATTAATTCAGTTAAAATTTACAAGGTCAGAATTGTACACCAGTAGATCTTCAATATTAATCATTCAAAACAGTACTAAAGGTAAAGCATTCCATATAATTGTTTCTACAGTTGATAAAAAACTAAACATGAAATTGGCTATATACTTGGTCATGACCAAAGACATCCCTAAGAGACAATTCAAAACTGTTGAATTTATGCCTAAAGAAGTAACATCTAAGACTGAAAAGAAAACACTGGAACACAGCAGCATTAATTTAATAAACAACTATCTGAATTGAGATATACTCCCATAGCTTTCACATAAGTATATTTAACTTACATATATTTCTCTAGATAATGCCAGCCGTGGTATTAATAATATTAGCATTATTAAACACGGAAACAGCATTTCAGATAGCAAATTACGCACTAATCTTAAAATGCATTCTATCTTTCTAAATAGAGGACAAATATGATTTTACCTTTATTTTTAAAAACTAATAAATCTTTATGCTTTATTATAATGTATGCTCTCAGGAACCAAGGAAAATACTAGACTAACTTATGAGTAATACATGTCTCTAAAGGCCTTACTCAACTTTTCAGAACTTGTGTTTATTTTAATAGGAATCATTGTTGTTAGTGGGCTGGCTTTGTGCAGTATCTTTTTCTAATTTATTCTGATCTACTAATGAAAACAGTTCAAGTAAAAATGAGTACATTGTAAGGGTTATCTTTGAATAATAAATAAACAGTACTTTAGAGCATGCATTCCCTAAGTTACTTTTCTTTATTACTTACTGGTTATTGGCACTGTTCTAGGTAGCTGACTTTGCCAGACAAACGACTCAACACCAGTTAAATTCACCGTCTATACACAAAGTAATTGTTCTATGAGTGATCACTACAGGCTCTGAGTTAAAATAGAGGTTCTAGAATGGGTAGTTCAATGTTCAAATGCCATCTTTTCCCTTTATTAGTTTTACTGAGCTTACAATGTCTTATTAGTTTCAGATTTTTGTTCATACAAAGAGGTTAACAATAGATCATAACATAGAATTGTGGTGAGGAAAGCAATATTGTGTTAGGCAGAGAACCTATAAGTAAGTCAGCACACAAAAAATGTTAGTAATTCTCCTTACCGCTGTGGTTGTCATGTACCACAAATTTTTTTCTATAACAGTTACTCAAAACTGTGCAGGTAACCTTAAGAAACTTAAAATAGAATCACCATGGCTTAGGAAAACAGTACAAAATCTTAAGACTGAATTTTTTTTTTTTAAAGATTTATTTATTTTTATTTATACAAGCACTGGGTACAGTCAGAAGCACGGGAGGGTGAGAGAATTCCCAGAGCCAGAGCAGGGAGCAGAGCAGGCAGAAGGACTGAAGTACACTGCTGAGGGGAGCAGCGGGCGGCAGCAGAGGTCTGCACGCCATGTGGGACCCTCCTCCGGTGGCCGGGGAGCAGCCAGGGATCGAACCAGTGCCGCAGAGGCCGCAGGCAGCTTCGCAACCCAGCGCTCAACTGCTGCGCCACCGGGGAGGCCCAAGACTGAATTTTATACTATGGAGAACAGAGCACACATACTTACAAAGAAATCTGTATAAAACAAGTTCAAATTTGAAGTTATACTTTTATAATAAGCATTTTCAAAAGCTGACAACTATACAACTGCTCACAGAAATTAAAGATCTAAACAATGCAAAGACATGCAATGCTCGCAAATTAGAATATTAAGATTGCAACACTGCTCAAATTGATCTATGGAATCCATGAAATCAGTCCTTTTTAAAATCATGGCAAAACTGTACTGGCAAAACTGGCTAATCCTAAAATTCATATGGAAATACAAAAAATCAGAATAGCCAAAACAATCTCAGAAAAATAAATTTAGAGAATTCAAACTTCCTAGTTCCAAAACATACTATAAAACACCTTATACAAAGGTACCATAATCAAGACTGTATGGTATTAGTAATATGTTTTATAGACATATTTAGAATATAGAAAAAAACCCTCACATTCATGCCAAATAATTTTTGGCAAGGGCGTGAAGACCAAACGGTAAAGAATACTAATCTTTTGGAAAAACGATACTGAGACAAGTGGATGCATCTCTATGCAAGTGAATCCACTATGTCACATCACACACAAACATTACCTCAGAAAGGATTAAAGCCTCTAAATATAATGGGTAAAGCTATGAAACTCTTTTAAGAAATCACAGGAATAAATTTTCATGACCTTGAGTAAAGCAGTAATCTTTCAAAAATCAGAAGCAATTAAAAAAAGATTATTGGACTTCCTCATGATTAATAAATCATGCTGAAAATGATACACACGAAATTAAACAACAGCCCAAAGAATGGTAAAAATATTTGCAAATCACTCATCTAAGAAACAATCTGGGGGCCTCCCTGGTGCACAAGGGGTTAGTAGACAGGGCACAATGAAGCTCTCCACAGCCACTGCAGTTCAATCCCTGCCCAGGGAGCTACCCACATGGTGCAGCAGACCTCTCTTGTCTCACCCGCTGCTCCCCTTAGCAGTTCATTTCAGTACATCTGCCTGTTCTGCTCCCCACTCTGTCTCTGGTGAATCCTCTCACCTCCCCGCATCTCTGGCCTGCACCCCAGCTCTTGTATGCATAAATAAATGGGGAATATAACCAAAAAGAAAATGCATACATTGTGCAAAAATGAAAAATGATGTAAGAATTATATAAAATAAAATAATAATTAAAAAAAGAAAAAAAAGAAAATATCTGTTTCCATATCTACAAAGAGCAAACAGCTATAATATAAATAGAAATATAAAATTAAAAAGATAAATAATCCCACTAAACAATGGGCACATGCTCTTAATAGACATTTCTCCAAAGAAGATATACAAACAGCCAGTAATTTCATGAAAACATACTCAAATGTTAAGTCATTGGGGAAACACAAATCAAACCACAATGAGATATTACTTCATGTCCACTGGGACAGAAATAATCAAAAGAACAAACCATCACAAGAGTTGGCTAGGACCTATGGAAAATGCAACCCTTATACATTGCTAATGGGAAAGTAAAATAAAGTGCAATCTTTGGAAAACAGACTGGTAGTTCCTCAAAAATGTTAAATGTAGTTGCTTTATGACCTAACAATTCTACTTTTAGGTATAAACATGAAGAAATAAAAACGTGTATACACTGTCACAGCATTAGTCAAAAAGTAGTAGCAACACAAATATCTATCAAATAGTCAATGAATGGCTACACGAAATGTGGTATGTCCACAAAAGGAATGAAGTTCTGATACATACTATAACATGGATGAACTTTGAAAACATTCTAAGTGAAAGAAAAAGAAAACTGAAAGGAAGAAATCTTAAGATTGACATTCACTAAATACAGTAACATATACTCAACATAATTCAGGTTAGAAAGAAGACATGCTGGAATCATTTTCAAAGTATATTCTAAGTAGCCCTGTATTAATTAGAAAATCGAAATATGCAATATTTGCTTACATCTGATTAAGCAAAGTTTAACTTAATTCTTTGCAATTTGGGAGAGTTAACACTAAATTTCAATTTCAAAAGAAAACACAAAATTTCAAAATAATAAACTGTTCTTTCAAACATTACCATTATTAATACACTTGAGTATGACATGATGACCGCATGGCAATCTGAGAGCTGACAACGCCCTCACCACCAAGGTCACTTACCGTAGCAGTTATGTCATCTTTCTTTAGCTCTTTCGGCTTGAGAAAGTGAGCCCCTATTGTAGATCTTTGGTAATTCCAGGTTGAGCAGGACAGCTTACCCTGATGGCAAGCAATTATACCATCCCAGTCACTCTCCCGAGCTTCCTCTAAAACACAAAGAAAATCACAAATCATAATGTTTTATATATCCTCATTCTTTTATGTACTACTTAATAAGCCATTTAATACTTCATGATATCACTAGGCACTAGGGACACAGTGGTGAAACAGGTAATTCCTTATAGCAATAAGCTTTCAATATGATAAGAGATTATGATCAGAAGAATTTAAAATACAGTTTGACACTATATTATAAGAGCACGTAGGAGATCACTAAGAGATCTGGGGAAAGTAGTCAATGACTCCAAGAAAGAAGCAGTGAAACAAGTAGAAATTAACCAAGCACAGGATACACACACACCTTCAAGAGTAATTTAAAAAAATCAAGCACAGAAAGTAAGTGAAGCATTTTCTTGAAAGCAGGCAGGCAAGGGAACTGGGGCTATTACACATTACAAAGAGTCTTGAAATGTATCTTAAGGAGAGGAGATATCATCCCAAAGGTAATCAGAGGTCACTGAAAGAATTTTGAGCAGGTCAGTAACATAATTTTAGAAAGATCACTAATGCTCTTAAATAGAAAACAGATGGGAGGTTGGTCAAAATTAAAGTTAGAAACAACAACAAAAAAACCTCACCAGTCAGTATATTCTTATAACAACCATGAAAAGTAAACAATGCCTATTTTGTTCCTAAGATAGCTTGCACTCATCACTTGTCTACATTTTTTGAAAGATTACTCTATTGAATGAAGCACTGCTCAAATGACATACTATATTAAGTGTATTTTCATTAAATTAGAGCTCTATGTTCACTATTCTTACCTCTTTACATTTAGTGACTTTAATTATGCCAAGCTTATATAAAAGTTACAAAATGAAATATCAAATATTGTTTGTCAATAATTTTTATGAAACAAAGACTGAAGTTAATAGACACCAAGTTCTAACTCACTTTTAGTTTTCACAGAAGGTTAAAATGCATGTGGGGTTACCTGCAAATATTAATATTTCAAAAATATTTACAGAAAAGGAGAAAAGAGAGAAATATATAGTAAGAAATTAATGTAGTAAGAAATTAATGACAAAACAGAACTTCTCAAAACACAATATGAACTTACCAGCTACAAACTGAGTGATAGGTGGAAGTCTCACTGACATGGTATTCTGAAGTCCTTTACGTTTGACTCTCTTTTTATTTATTAATCCTGAGGAGGAAAAAAGGGAGTTTGGAAAAGCAGAACATAGCTATCAATCCTTAATGAAAAGTGAATATAAACTACATGAAATTCATCAGAAGTTTCAAGACATTACCTATTAAAGTCAGAATAGCAAAAAGAGATTGTACTGCCACTATTATTTAACTGCTTATGAAGTTTAGCATATACAATTAAATAACAAATGAAACATAATAAAATGAATATAAATATCAATTTTTTTGCAAATAATATGATCTTATAGTCACATCAATCCAAAGAAACAACCAAATAATTATTAGAATAGTTCACTAAGAGCCTCTCTGGTGGTCTAGGGGTTTAGTCTCAGCACTATCACCACTTCAGTCTGAGTTAGATCCCAGACCAGGGAGCTAACCCACATGGGGCAGTGGACCTCTCCTGTCTCGCCTACTTCTTCCCTAAGCAGTATATTTCAATAGATCCCCCTGTTCTGCTCCCCACTCTGTCTCTGGTGAATCCTCTTACCCTGCACCTCTAGCCTACAGTCCAGTTCTTCTACCAAAAAAAAAAAAAAAGTTCCTTGAACCAAATACAGAACCAATACAAAAACAAAACAAAAACAAAAACCCACCAAAACAGTGAGTTCTCTACAATGCAGCAATATTTGATCATTAGATTTTATAATCACATATATTTTAAAAATGTATCACTGAGCATCTTAAACATGTAGGACCAAGAAGGACAACTAAAACTTCACCCAAGAACATAAAAGACAATTTGAACAATTATGTATCATATCTCTAGCAGTGAATCTTGAAGATAGAAAATTTTTCCAATTTAAGTCCAAGAGGAATTATTTTGATACTGATTTTAAAATGATCCTGAAATTTATCTGGAAGCACATACATGCATGAATAGATTGTGCCATTAGCTTACAAAGATATTGAAAACATGTTTTTACTTAATGAGCAAAATATTTTCAGCAGCTTTTTTTTTCCGTCTTGCAAATGACCTACCATGTCCCAAGCTTTTGTTAAATTTTTCATGTAATGTGGAAAATGACTGAAGAGTTCCATCTTGACCTGTTGATATGTACAGAAAATTCTTAATCAAGCTTCATCAAACAATGGACCATTGAATCACATATCTTTCAAAACTAAGTTCTATAAAAATCGATGTTGCAGTTTGCGCACTTTAAAGAGAGCCAAACTGCAATTATATATACTTCACTGTACCATTCAACTTTGCACAGAATGCCATTTAATAAGAACAAAAGATAAAATGAGCTACCAATAATTTACAAAGTATTCAAATACATAAAAACCATCCTTTCAGAGGCCTAGTCTATCTGTGAGGATTAGCTCTAAGGACACTTCAATAAAGATATTATCATGAACAGTGCTCCTAAAGTATTCAAAAGAATCACTTTATTTTACCAATTTTCAAGTCACTCAAAAGGGATATTTGAATCTAAAAATGGGTAAATACCAAACCTAACAACTAGGAAGCATCCTGCTCTCAATACTGCTGTAATAGACTAATAGCACAAGCCAAACACTCACTTGCACTAAGAATTTGTTGTCCATTTTGTCCATAATATCTGATTCTGGTAAGAGGAGCACTATGTCCCATTCTGAATCTCAAAAGACGTCCTTCACCTGTGGGACCATCAAATATCCATATCTGTCAAGAAAAAAAAAAGGAGTATTCTTCCATAATGTGTTAAGTGATCTGCAAGAAGACAAGTTACCTACTAGGTATGTTTGCTGATGCCAGAATGTGAGCAGAGGAACAGATAAGCTAGCTATAACTTTTACTTCATTGCAGTCATGAAGCATACTGTACCTTTTGTTTCATCTATATCAATACCTCATCTCATATTCTTCTTTTTTTTTTATAGAGGCATGTTTAATTTATTTGTTTGTTTGTTTTGTTTATACATGCACTGGGTACAGTCAGAAGCGCAGGAGGGTGAGAGAATTCACCAGAGCCAGAGCAGGGAGCAGAGCAGGCAGAAGGACCAAAGTACACTGCTGAGGGGAGCAGCGGGCGGCAGGAGAGGTCTGAGCGCCATGTGGGACCCTCCTCCGGTGGCCGGGGAGCAGCCGGGGATCGAACCGGCGCCGCAGAGGCCACGGGCAGCTTTGCAACCCTGCGCTCAACCGCTGCGCCACCGGGGAGGCCCCTCATATTCTTCTTAACCTCTAGGTTCAAGGCTAATACATTAAAGCAGGCTTGTAATAATCCAAAAGGTAACTCAGCTAAGCCAGATAACAACAATAATCATTTTACCCTGAGAGCATTGTCAGCACCATTTGTAACAAGAAGTGGTTCTCTATGGAGAAATGTTAGCCCAGCAATTGCTGTAGAATGTGCATTTCTCATTTGATTAATTAATTTTTTGTCTTCTAGGTCCCAGAGTCCAATATGGCCACATGGGCTTGCAGCTGCCATTATTGGATGACCATCTGTTATTAAAACGAAACAAAACAAAACAAAAAAACATTAAGAAAAACATGTATCACTAAACTTAACATTCTCTCCACCCCTTTAATTCATAAAATTAGAAAGACCATGTACCAAAAACTTAACCATATTACTTAATGTTTATCAACAATAAGTTAAAAGTTACCTGTGCGAAATGATATGGAAGTAATAGGTCCCCAGTCTTGACGAAATTTCATTAATGTTTCATCAAACTTAATGTTGTGAATAAAAACCTGACCTGATATAAGGCCAACAGCAACAACATCTACAACTGGTGCCTGAAAATTAAATTATCCAACTTTTAATTTTTTAAATCAAGATAGTTATAATAATTCTAATGATACACATTGTTACTTGTTACCAGTAGACATAATGGAATATCCTCCTGAAGGTGACAAAAACAGTAAATATGGCTATTCTAACATACATTAAATTTTTTGGCATTTACCTATGGAAGTATTTAGGAATGATTTTTCCAAATTACTTCCAGGTTTTAAATGCAATAGTCACCACCACCTCCCTGCACCTAAAACAGCTGACTTGGCAAGAAAACAACAATAACAGAAAAAGAATCTGATCTGGAGGCAAGTGCAGCAGCCAGGTCCTTGAGATTTAAAAAAAAAAAAGAATCTGATATGTTATCACTATAGATCATTGAGTGGATGGAAACAGAAAAAGAGACAACTCTTAGAAAACATAAATGGTAACATAAGAGGTCAACTACAAAGGAAATAAAGAATTATTTATCTAAAGGAACTAAAAAATCCATAAAATATATTAAAAGTCAAGTTTGACAATTAGTCTCTTCCATTTATACAATGGCTTGATATAACAGCCCTATTAATTTTCTGTTTTAGTACAGAAGATCAAAATCCAATACCATTACAGAACAGAAACAAGGTAAACATTTTATTGAGTTGCCATCAAGCAACTTCTAAATCTGAGACTCAGTGTAGACTCAGTGTAGAAGCTGGTGATATTAATATTAATATGATTCCTTGCTTCTAAAGTACCTATTCACTTGATATCTTTGGATTCTTCTAGGTAGCAAAAACAGAGCAAGGTTAATGGTAGTGACAAAAGATAAAGGACTGCATATAAACTGAGTAAGTGCAAGCACTGATTTTAGAAAGAGTACAATAGCTATACATTCATTCATTTACACAAACATATTTTGCAGACTCATAAAAACACTATTTTCTTCAGATAATATTTATAAAGATAAACTAGTTTACATATTATTTAAACTTCAGGTTTAAAAGATGGCTGCGCCCCTGAAAATGAAAGATCCTACTATTAACCTTATTATTTCTTTGACTTAACTAACCTGTTGAAGAGCTGTCACTCCAACTTTCCATCCTGGAAATGTGTACAGGAGTTTACTACAAGAAGAAAAATAGTTGAAAGCTTTTCTTTGAGGAATACAAAATCAGATGCATATTCAAAAGTGAAACATTAACAGGTGATATTTATGTTCTTACTTTGGCAAAGTTCTTACTTTGCCTCACACTATTATAAGTACATAAAATGACTAATTTAGTACTCAGTCTTAGTAGGTATATATTATCAACATTTCCCAGATAAAAAACCAAGATTTTCTAAGGTCATATTATGCAAATACGGTGGTAATTAATAGAGCCCAGACAGACCAATTCTAGATCCCAAATTGCAACTAACTACTATTCTATGCTACTTTTTAAAGAAATTAGAGAACAAAGAAAAAAGATGAAACAGTGGCTTTGAGGAAAAAGTGGATTGACCTAGAGATGACTATGTTAAGTCAAGTAAGTCAAAGTAAAAGCCAGCAGATGGTTTCACTCATCTATGGAATATAAATAACAAAAAACAAACATAGCCAAAACACAGTAGGAATAAATCTTTTAACTCAGTGAAAGAATTTTCTAGTTACCAGAGGGAATAGATGGGAGGGAGGAAATGGAGACAGAGGGGGCATTGGGACAGGTGGTTTAGAGTAGATAAATGGAATATATACACATAAGATCAAAATTATAACCCCAAATTTAAAATTAAAAAAAGTAGAGGAAAAAAATAAGTAAAAAATCATTTTATAATGCAGACTACATTAGAATATAGACAGAACTTATTTTTCACTGCAATATTTCTAGAAACATAGCACAAAAAGAAATACATTGAAACTGGGCCTCCCCTGGTGGCATAGTAGTTGAGTGTGGGGCTGTGAAGCTGCCCACAGACTGTGCAGCGCCGGCTCGATACCCGGCTGCCTGCGAGGGTCCCACATGGTGCGACAGACCTCTCCTGCCAGACCCACTGCTCTCCTCAGCCTGTTCTGTTCCCCGCTCTGGCTCTGGTGAATTCTCTCACCCTCCCGCGCTCCTGAATGTACCCAGTGCTTGTATAAATAAATAAATCTTAAAAAATATATATATATTGAAACTGCAATACTACTCATATTACGTAACTTTTCTATGACAATGGTGATACTACTCTAAATTTTGGCATCAAGTCATGGAATGACAAATAGTAAGTTACTGGAGCAAAGAGAGCTATGTGAAATTTTTATGATAATATAGTAGTAAATCGTGTACTAAATTCTGTAAGGAGTCACAGATTAGTTCTGCAACATTTATGCAAGGTGTACAGCAATTCCACTCCTAGGTATTTACCCAAAGGACACAGAAACATTAATTCAAAAGGGCACCTGCACCTCTATGTTTATAGCAGCACTATTTACAATAGCTAAGCTTTGGAAATAACCCAAATGCCCAAAAATAGATGACTGGGTCAAGAAGATGATCCAGTGGTACATATACACCATGGAATATTACTCAGCATTCAAAAAAAATAAACACATGCAATTTGCAGCAACATGGATGGTGCTGGAAGGGATCATGCTCAGCGAAATAAGCCAGAAAGAAAAAGAAAAATACCGGATGGTCTCACTCATAGCAGGAATCTAGAAAACTTAAATAAGAGACCAGGAAAAAGAATAACTATAAGAAAGTTAAAATCAAAATCAACAAACAACTATGAACCAGAGACACTCTATGGGGGGTAGGGGGCAGGGAAAGGAGGGACTGGGGTCAAAATAAGGGGGTTGCAATTGTATGGGGAATATAAAAATAAAATTGAAATTAAAAAAAAAAACATACAATAAAGAAAATAAACATCATATAATGACACTATGGAGATAACCTTAGGGGCAGGGCAGTATCTCAGTGATTATCCTTGAGTTTGGCACAGAGTAGGTGATCAATGACATTTGCTAAATTGAATGGAAACACTGATTTAAAACTAAGAACTAGGGTAAATATTAAATCTCCAACAATCTTATTTTCCCTTTCAAACCTATAAGAACTTTGGAATATAGACTGCTCTGTAAAGAAGTCTAAACTGTTATTCCCCCCCCCCCCCATGAATGTTCAAATATAAAGTAGAGTTATTCAAAATCATTTATCTAGTCTTCTATCTAGGCCAATATTATGTTAGACGTTCATCATGTTTGTGGTTGATGATATAAACCTTTTACCCTAAAAATCATTTCTAACTGCTAACACTAAATTAACACTGATTTGCTTGCTTTCTTACTTTTTAATTTATCAAAAATCTAAAAAGCTGCCCACTGAGAATCTCAGTTATTTTCTGACTCTGTATTACTTTATTAGAGCTCTTCTATAGCTGTATGAATTCTTTATAGTACACTTTTCACAGAGCACTTATAAAGTTGCCTATGTGCAGGACCACATGCCAGCTTTCACATATATGATGCTATGAATACTTACTGAAAGCCTTCCAAGTAAACACAGAAAGACAAGAGACCTGAAAGATTTTAAGTATGCATTAAGGAATAGTAGGTGAGGATAAGTGAGGAGTCACCTAAGTCATTTTTGAAGTAAATTGCTTACTTGGACTTTACATTCCACAACTGCAGACTTCCTTGTTCACTGCCAAGAAGTATTTTATTCAAGTAGGTACTCGGATGCAAAATTGCAGAAATTTTAAATACTGACTTATCAAATGTCAACTGCAGGTATTCTTCTACAAGAATGAAAGTTATAAATAAAGCATTTTTTTAATAAAAAAGTTTAAAAAGTTTTTCATATACCCATATATGTAGAATTTAAAGTAAGTTTACTGTACAAAGACTTATATACTAACATAAATCAAAGATTTATATACTAACCTATAAGCATTCCTTGAAAATTTAAACAAATATGGATACTTGTAAATGTAATTTAAACTGTAGAAAATTTTCTAAAATTTCAAATATCAATACCGTAAAAATTTTACTCTGCCAAAATTGGCTTATAGAAAAGAAAAAAATAGGATTAAAAAAGTGCCACTACGGATTTGCCTTACTATTTTTATAATTTGATCAAGAGTCTGAGAGAATGTTGTTAAGTGAAAAACTTGTACTAAGTTCTTCCAGGGAGTGAAGGGCAAAATACCTAGAGAGCCTGCTGGAACATCAAAGATGTAAAAAGCCTGAAGCAAACCTTGATGAGACTAGTAACAGCGCATTTTAACAAAATAACCTTTAACAGGAAGGGAAAACAACTTTTAACTCTGTGGAGGGGCATGGCACAGCCAGTGATCACTTACTGTAAAATCAAAACCATTTTTAAAAATTAAACATATAAGGCCTCCCCTGGTGGTGTAGCACTTGAGCGCTGGGCTGCGAAGCTGCCCACAGCCTCTGCAGCACTGGCTCTATCCCTGGCCGCCAGCGAGGGATCCCACGTGACGCGTCAGACCTCTCCTGCCGTGCCCACTGCTCCACTCAGGAGTGTATTTTTTCATCAGTCTACCTGTTCTGTTCCCCACTCTTGCTCTGGTGAATTCTCTCACCCTCCTGTGCTTCTGACTGTACCCAGTGCTTGTATAAATAAATAAACAAATAAATAAATAAATAAATCTGAAAAATAAAAATTAAAAAAACCTATATGTAAGTTTTCAGCCATGATTAAAATAAATTTTCACTAAATTTGAGAATCAAAGACAGTACATTTCACTTAATCTTAAGTTTCACATATTATTTAGCGAACTGCTGCAGGCTCCCAGGGTATGTGCGTACCAGTTTAAGAAACATAAGAACAGGTGACAATTACAAATTTAAAATTTAAGAATTAGATTCTCTAACTATGATCTCCTGACATGGTGACTACTTTGGAATTCTGTTCTCTCTGCTTGACCCAAGAAAAAAATAGTGACTAATTTAACAAAAACATGAAATAACTCTCAGAGGATGAGGGGTAGAGGGAAAATCCCCAAGATTTTTATTAAAAATAAACATACTGCATTAAACACTACATTAATGAAGAGGTATAAGTTAAAGGTGTAAACTTTTATTCAGGAAAGTTGGGGCTATATAGGTTATCAATTCCTAATCTTTGAAGATAATACATAGTCCCATATACAATTTGACTTCAAAGTTATTTTAGACAATGCACTAGAATATGAAGTCATGGTTAACTTTCCCAAGGAGAATAAACCAACCAGCTCAGTGTTTCAAACTTAAAGAACACTGACTCATAGCCTTAGAAACAGGTGCCTATTTTTCCTTCAGATTATATGATCTTCAAAAATTACTAATATAACCTTCATAGAAAGTTGAAAACACAAATCAAGAATTAGGCAGGTGTGACATATACCAGTATTTTCTCCACAGAAAAAAAATAACATGTCACTAGAACTATAATGGAAAAACGCACTGGTTGAGATAAACACTACAGTTAACTCAACTAGCTGACTAAAACTGCTTATCCAGGGCCTCCCTGGTGGCGCAAGGGATTAAGCACCGCACTATGAAGCAGTGTGCAGCCTCTGCAGCACGAGTCCGATCCCCAGACTGGCCAGGGAGAAACCCACATGGTAAGGCAGACCTCTCCTGTCTCACCCGCTGCTCCCCTCAGCAGTGTATTTCAGTCAATCTGCCTGTTCTGTTCCCCACTCTGTCTCTGGTGGCTCCTCTCACCGACCGCAGCGCTGGCCTATACCCCAGTTCCTGTATGCATAAATCAATAAATCTCAAAAAATAAAAATAAAAAATAATAAAAATAAAACTGCTTATCCAATTTCTTCTAAAGAAGACTTTTTTTAATAATGTTAAAAATCATTTTCTAAAAAATTATTTACACTCATATATGGCACCTCTGATATAGAAATACTTTCACACAAATATTTAATTTTACCTACATACATAGGATCCCATATTAAAGCAATAAATTAGTTTAAGTCTTACCTTCTGAATATATGTGCCAAATAATAAGAACACTGTCAATATCAACAGAAATAACATGATCCCCAAAGGGCTGCAAAAGATGAATTTCTGCCTTATGACCCTTAAAAGTATGTACCACCTATAATGTCAAAGTTCAAAAAAAATTCAAATTATTCATTACATAATATCATTCATATAACTCCCCTCCCGTCCCCCCAAAAAGCTAATCCTAAAGATGCTCACATTAAGAAATAAAGGTCCAATTTCTGATTATCCAAGGATGGGTTAACAAACAGCAAGGAATCAGGCATTTTCAGCTGTTCTCCCAGCCAGTTCAATAATAAGGAAGTGAAAGCCTAGACTCAGAACAGAGAAAGGAGACCTCTGAAGCTCAGTCTCACTAGCTCAGGAAGGAGGCATGCAGACTGCTGGGTACCTCACCCAATTCAAGCAATGTAACCCCTGCATCTTGGAAAAGTTATGTTCAGAAGGCTGAACTCTACAGTCTCCACCACCAGTTGTTTTCCAGATGGGATGGGTAGGAGATATAGGCTTCTTGCCAATACTTTTTGTTTTGATCCTCACCCTTCAGTAACTACAGTTTCCCATGGTTTCATTTCTCACCAGGCTTTAGTAACACATTTCTACTACTTGCCCCTTTAGCACTATGGGTTTAACAGATAGTCTCTTACTGCTGATAGTCTCTTACTGCCTGATAGTCTCTTACTGCCTTCCCACCCATACTTTCTATATATAACCCTCCAAGAAACACAACAAACTGCAATATAGTGTGGAAAAATGAACATTTCCCCTAATGCTCTAAAAATTCACAAAGGCCCCATTAACACAAGTAAACTGCCTCCCTCTACCGTAGGTAGTGATGATGGAGTACTTTTGGAACACTTATCAACCCTAGTAAGTTTTCAGACATTCCCACTATCACTTTCCCTTTCCCTGGAGCACTAGAGCTAGTTTATCCCTCAAATTAGTTGTTCCAGGACAAACTTAGAAACCAACTGACAGATTAAGACAAGAAAAAAATTCTTCCTTAGCAGTGAAGAAAACAGAAAATCTAGCTTCTATATATAAATGGAACAAGTATTTGGTTCTAGAAAAGGAACCATGAGCTGAGTTCTTCAGAACAAAAATGCCAATCTACATAAAGCAGCGGTACGTTTGTTTAGGAATCTCCCATGAAAGCATTTTCAGAATACACATAACTAAATTCTATCCCAACCAAATATACAGAGCAGACAGCTCCAGATATGAGACCAGACCAGGCATGAAAAGTTTGAAAATGACTAATTAATCTGATGGTCATCTCTGGCAAAGAAAACTAATGTAGTTAATGTCATCCATTTTCTCTTCCTTTAGAAAACTAATATGCATTAAAAAAAAAAAAAAAAGAATATGTCTGGAGTGTCCCAGATTAAAGATGGCAACACTAAAGTTACCTCCACTATCATGACAATTAACTACAAAAAAAACAAAAAGGCAAAAAAATTAAAATAGTTCAATGATACAAACCTCTTTATTACGAGCAAATGCAGAGAAAATGTTTCCATAAGCAGCAAATACTAGCCTTCCATCAGCTGCCATACAGCATATATCCTGTGGAACAGAGTTACCTAGGAAGAAAGAAAGATAAAATAAAAAAAAAAAAAAAAGAACTTTCAAGATCCTAGAACAGACAGAAGTGTCAAATATACCTACAACATTTTTTATGGCTATAATTTAAATATAGAGAAAAGAAATATGAAAATCAGAGAATAAAATTTTGACTTCAGTTATTTCATTTTTTTAAATTTTTTTATTTTTCCAAAGTTATTTTAGACAATGCACTAGAATATGAAGTCATGTTAACTTTCCCAAGGAGAATAAATGTTTAGTATTTTCAGACATAAAAAACCATAATTTTAAAGAAATAAAAAGCTTTTTGAGGTGATTTGTAAAAATTCCACACTTGACACACAGAACTATAGCAGATGGTCACCCAATATTCATGTAAATATCTTCAGGAACCTAAAGTTCACCAATACCTCCAGGAAATTTTTTTTAGCAAATTAAAAACCCAGATCTCTGTCCAATTCTACCTTTTGGAGTATCACACCTTGCCCCCTAACTTCACAAAACAGTTTACACTCTGATTCTTAAAATTAACAAAAAGGTTTCCACTCTATCTTAAGGTAAATACACCTTTCAGCTCTAGCCATTTCTTATGATACAAATGTCTTGTTTCCTCTCTCACTAGCATTGCCACACTGGCCTTTTCTGTTTATTTCCTGATTTGGAGGCAGGAGAGTTAGAAGATAAATAACTTTTTATGTAGTTTTCATGCTACATATTCCATTTTGAGATTTCATTTCTAAAATATTATTTAGATTTATTACTCACTTTCATATTCTACTTAGGTTATAGTTTTTCTTTTAACTTCTAGTCTTTTAAAATAAATATTTATCAGATACGTACTGGGTTACCTATAATTCCCCTGTTTCTCTCCTACAAAGATCAAATTTAATAGTGAAATTAGAATCTCTCAGCCCTAGTAAACCTTTTACTCTATTTAACAGCCCCCCATACATATATGTTATATTACATACATACCTATACATTTTTTTTCCCCTTTCTTTGCAGGGAGAGGGGAATAATAGAACCAGAAAATCACTATTCAGTAATCATACTAATATCTAATTCAGAAAAGAATCATCACTAATGATAAAAACAGAGAGAAACTTTGAGAAGAATATCTACATAGTCTCAATATATGTTATTACAAGAAACTTATTAATTACAAAGGGTAAAACTTTCAAATGGAGTCTCCTGATAGTTTCACCCTAATCAAACGATCAGTTTTTACTGCCAGGATCAGAACTAAGCAATGTCATGTGTCTCCTGACATGATTCACTGAGAATTCAGCACCAATTCTTTGTTATTCCAGCCTTAATACATAATCTAAGTCTAATCATAAGAAAACAGAGAAAAACTGAAAGAATTTTAAAAAAGAACTAGTATCTACTCTTCAAAAATCAATGCTGTGAAATGCAAAGTCTAAATAATTATTCCAGACACTAGAGAACGAATAAGACAGGACAACTGAATGCAATATATGTTCCTTCCTGGATTTCTTTCTTTTCTTTTTTTGGGGGTATGTAAGTTTATTAGAAATGCATAGTAGATTCCTTACATGTTCCAGAAATCTTAAATTTATGTCAAACTTTTAAAAAATTAAACATACAAAGCATGCATAAATTCAGAGTAAAGTCTATACTCACTTACTGCAACCAGACTAAGTTTCTGAACCTGTTTAAAAAAAAAAAAGAAAATGATTAATTATATTGTCATTTAAAAAAATTGCAATAACATAACACTTGAAGATTGAGATATAACCTCATACATGAATTTGCTATGCTGTTGTTGCTAAATAAGACACTAATCCTAATTTCCATTACTAGGAAAGTTTGTATTTCCAACTATTTTATTAGGGGTGGTGATGGAAGAGATATTTTTCTATAACAGGTCATAGAGTGAATATTTTAGGCTTTGCAGGCTATGTGATCTTTCTTGCAACTACTCAATATCTAATTACGTGACAGCAGTCACAAAATACCTAAGCAAAATGGAGCGGCTGTATTCCACCAAATTTATTATATGGATATAGAAACTTGATTTTCATTCATCATGAAACAGTCTTCCCCATGAAATACTCTTCTCTTGATTTTTTCCCCAACCATTTTTATTTTTTTTAAAGATTGATTGATTGATTGATTGATTGATTGATTTATGCAAGCACTGGGTATAGTCAGAAGCGCAGGAGGGTGAAAGAATCCACCAGAGTGAGAGCGGGGAGCAGAGCAGGTAGAAGGACCGAAGTACACTGCTGAGGGGAGCAGCGGGCGGCAGGAGAGGTCTGCCGCACCATGTGGGACCCTCCTCCGCACCATGTGGGACCCTCCTCCGGTGGCCAGGGAGCAGCCAGGGATCGAACTGGCGCTGCAGAGGCTGCGGGCAGCTTCGCAACCCAGCACTCAACTACTGCGCCACCAGGGAGGCCCCCCAAACATTTTTAAAAATGTGAAAACCATCTATCTCAGAAGCACAGAGCTCAGCAAGTATAAGTGAAAATTCACCCATTAGAGATGCAAGAGTGCCAAAGACTGAAAAGGCCCTTGGAGATCAATTAAACATATTATTTCTTAAACAGAAGTAAACACATGTCTCTATACCATGCCAAAATTAATTTTATTGAATCCTACTACAAGGCAATTCTATTTGAAGGTTAAATTAGAATAAACACAAACATGCAGAGAAAAAAATTAAAATATCAAAACCATTTACAAGTCATAGGTTATTCAAAAACATGGTGAGGAAAACAGGGTTGCAGACCATAGTTTGCTGACTGCAATTTATGGTTACTGATCCAGCTATATGACCTTGAGAAAGTTACTAATCTCCTTGTGCCTTGAATTCCTCACCAGCAAATGATTAAAACAGCTATCTACTTTATAGGATTATTATCAGGATTCAATGAGTAAAATCTGTGTAAAATAGAATGGCATCAAATACATAACAAATGCTCAGTGTTAGCTGCACCACCACCTCCATCACCTAACCACTGCTTGTCTTCTTTGCCCTGAAGAAAAAGCTCCTCTCTACGAAGTTGACTAGGTATAACAATAATATTGCCATCGCCATGAGACAGAGCACTTGCAAATCAAACTAGAGACTTGAGTGCATTAATTAACATTTTTTACTCCCAAGTTATTTTCAATTTCAGCACTCACAGCCTAATACACTGGTTGGTTGAACAGTGTACAGAGCTCTTAAACAATAAGCATTTACATGCTGCTATGATTACAGTAAATTTTAGAATTAGAGAAGACCTTAAATGTCATCTTTATTAGGACTAAATTTCAATGCACGAATTAAAGGAACTTTGAAATTTAGTCCTAATAAAGATGACATTTAAGTTCTTCTCTAATTCTAAAATTTACTGTAATCATAGCAGCATATAAATGCTTATCGTCTGAGCTAAATTTCAATGCACAATTTTTTTTTTTTTAAGATTTATCCATTTATGCATACAAGAGCTGGGGTATAGGCCAGAGGATGTGGAAGGTGAGAGGCTCCACCAGAGACAGAGTGGGGAACAGAACAGGCAGATTGACTGAAATACACTGCTGAGGGGAGCATCGGGCGAGACAGGAGAGGTCTGCCTGGCCATGTGGGTTTCTTCCTGACAGGGCCGGGGATCAAACTTGTGCTGCAGAGGATGCTGATTGCCTCATAGCGCGATGCTTAACCCCTTGCACCACCCGGGAGGCCCTCAATGCACAAATTAAAGCAACTTTGGGTCTCCCCGGTGGCGCAGAGGGTTGAGCGCAGCCTCTGCAGAGTGGTTTGGCCAGGGAAATTCCCACATGGCGCGGCAGACCTCTCCTGTGTCTCAGCAATGTATTTCAGTAGCTCGGCTTGTTCTGCTCCCCACTCTGTCGCTGGTGAATCCTCTCACCCTCCTACGACTCTGCCCTGTACCCCAGCTATTGTATAAATAAATAAATAACAAATTAAAGCAATTTTTAATTTTTAAATGTATCCTCTAACAGGGTTTCTTAGGAAGTAGACCATGGGGAAAAAGTGTGTAATATACAGTGTAATGAAAGACAATATATCAAAAAAAAAACACTTCAAGACCTCTTTAAGAAAACTAGAAAAACTAAGGTATATTTTAAAAAGGAAATTTTTACCAGCAAAACCAAAAGTCAGGGAACAAAGTACCCTTAGGCAGAATGCTAACAATAAATAACCTTTCAAGATGAATCTTGTCATTCTAAGCCACCTTATTTCCACCACTAACCCAGGCTTTGGAAAAACCAATTGCTCTCCACTGTGAGCAGCACCATCACTTTCCTGTTCCCTAATTAAACCAGCTCCCAACAACCCACACTTCTTGCTAAAAACCCATTTGATTCTATAATCCTTCAAGGAGACCAACTCTACAGAACAGTTTCCAGGAAAAGTGCTTAATTAACACTGATTATAATCCTCATCAAACAGATACTCCTTTCTCAAGGCACACATTCATTTGGAGAAGATATATAAAAGAAGTAAATGGCAATAAGACTATTTCAGAAACTGATGGGATATTCAACGAGAATAACCATCACTAACAAAGTGAAAAGCCATTGGCAAGGAGTCATTTTCCTGCGATTTATTGTCTAGTTATATAAGGGTGCTAAGGAATGACACAAACCTTGCAAAGAAACTGCTGCAAAGCTCAAAGTGGCACCATGCGTGATAAACGCTCAATATTGCATGAAAATAGATGTTCAGGTAATATACAGGAAAATGATTTGTTACCAAGTGTGAACAGATCCCTAAATCGTAATTAATCTCACCCTCTCCAGGTCTCCCGCGTATTTTAGTCTGAATTTCTAACACTGTGTCGTGAACTGCGCAATAAAATTGCTTGGAAGTTTTGCCATTAAGAATATAAGGGCTGGGCCTCCCCTTGTGGCGCAGCGGTTGAGCGCTGGGTTGCGAGGCTGCAGCGCCGGTTCGTTCCCCGGGCACCGGCGATGGTCCCACAAAAAAAAATAAATGAAATAATAATAATAATAATAATAATACAAGGGCTGGGTCTAGTTCTAATCACGTGTATTTCAATATATATCTTCTAACAAATCGTTCTGCATTAGCACTGTGATGTTCTCTAGTACCTTCCCCCAGCAAGACTTTCTCCGACTCTCCTCAGTGAGCTGGAGGGCTAACTCAGCACATGGATGTGATGCGGTGGCGAAACCCAGCAGGAGCCCGTGAAGGAAGAGGGCTGTGGAGAAACCCGTTAGGTGGGGGAAGGCAGCGGGATTGCCCCAGGACACAGGGGTAGAACCGGGGCTGGGGTTCCCGGGAAGCAGCAAAGGAAGTCACTCACGTCATAGGTATGGAAGCTCTTGCCCACGCAGGTCGTCACATAGAATCGACGCTTCAGCGAACTGAAGCGCACCACGTGTGGAATGTCGTTGCTAAAAAGCCCCAAGGCCCGGAAGCCCGCGAACAGCGCGCTGGCGGTGCGGCCTCCGGCTTCCGAATCCATCGCAGTGCCAAGGGGCTTGCTCTGGGCTCGAGGGCTGGTAGAAACCGCGCATCCGACCCTCTGCCAGGTCTCGTGGCTCGATCTCCAGATGGGCCTGCAGACCTCCAAGCGCTTCCGGTGTCAGCTGCCAGTCGCGTCTGCGGGAAATGCCCTTGGTGCAACTGTAAAAGAATTCCCTCCAATGCTTGAAGGGGAGCCGCCACTTCAGTTCCGTAGCCCGCAGATTCCACCTCCTTACTGACACTCCCCACAAAGGTGGGACTGCAAGAAACTCGCGGTTTTCATGGAATCTGGAGTGTGGAGAATCAGATTGCATTTGTGATTATAAAAGCCTATAAAACCATGCGATTGTCGAGAAAATTTTAACACTGACTGGAGAGTTGATGATTTAAGAAAATGCTGTTTATTTTTTATGATTGTAGTATTGCAGTTGTATGTTAAAAGATCCTTATCTTTTAGAGATACGTTTCGACACATTTATTGACATATTAAATAATATACCCGGTGATTTGCTTTAAAACAGTTGGGGGTGAAATGTAGAGGTTAGATAACGAAAGTTTGATTATTGTTAAATATGGGGAATGGGTGAGTGCATTACATGATACTATCCTTAAGTTTCCAAATAAATTTGAAATTTTCCATAATCAAGGGAATACTTTTTATTGAGTTTGTGTACAGGAAGAAAATGGGATATTAAACAATTATTTTTTTTTACTCCTGTATTATGGAAATACAAGTGATTTTAATTACTGGGTGTAAGGTAAATGACTTAAACATCTGGCTATTTTTCGTTCCACTTGCTTCCACATGCTTCCACACAGTGGGCAGCCCATACCTTCAATTGTTATGTTTTCCACAATTCCGACATCTAGCAAAAAACAGATGGGCTTTGCATTTCCAAAAGTGTATCTGTTGTGTAGCTATGGGCAAGTAACAGGGTAAAGGGAACTAGCAACTAGGAGTTGCTGTTCTCCCTCTCTGTATTGGAGTCTGTCTTGCTCTCTCTGCCTGCCTGTGTGTATGGTCTCCTGTCTCAAAGGACTGCAAAATCTACTGAAGACTCCAAATCCTCTTTTCCGTCTGTGAGAACTGACAATGAACCTACCCAGCATGGGATGGGATGGTTGCATGACCCAGGGTAGACATGTTTAGGAGTTTTCTAAATTGTGTATACTACAATGCAGCTTTTATGATGAGAAACAAAGACTCTGACATATTATCAGTCTGGGGATTAAATTGAAATTGAAAAAGTTTCCCCACTAGGATTTTATAATTTACAAGTCTTTGACACCCAGCTTTAATATAATCTTTAAATTAAGGCTGTGAGGTATTTAGTGAAAACTTTATATTATTATTTCACAAATTATGAAACTGGTTCACTATGTTTAGGTGGCTTGTCCAAAATTCCATAATTATTTAGTGCTGATATCCATACTAGCACAAAGATTAGAATAGGAGTAAAAGAGGATCACTGAAGGGCAGCAGAAGAATGGGAAAAAAAAAGATCCACCAATTATTCATTCAAGATTAAACACTGGGTCACATCATGTGGATTCATATTAGATAAAGAACTTGAGATTCCCAGAGATTACTTAACTTGTCAAGGATTACTGAATTAATGATGGTGGAATAATAGGAAATTAGGCCTGTGACAATCAGATCTACATCAGGCAATGAGACAAGAGTTTGAAAATTATCATGGAAAATCTGATAGTATTATCACAATAGATATGCATGTTAGCTGTTACTCTTTTTACTAAGAGATGCCCCCAAATAATGTGGATGCAGTAGATGTCAATGTTTTAATTTGATTCAATAGATTAGGGCTTCACAATATTCAGGTAAATAATATATATATATATGTATATATATATATATACATATATATATATATATATAGTGCTATCATGTCATTTCTGACTTAAAAAAAAAAGTTCAAATATGGTTTTCTGAATATTTAACCCGGAGGCCATTTTGTAACAGGACAGTCCCCAAGGAAAGGAAAGGTGCCAGATTCCCTGTTCCACCCAAAGAAGGGTGGAGCTGAACAGGGAAGAGAAGAAACTGGAGAGAGGAGACTGGAGGAGGAAGATTGAAAGGATAGAGAGCCAGTAGGAGACCTGCAGGAGGCACACAGAATGGAGAAACATGTGAAAGACCTCTGCTTGCTTCTTGGTTTTGGACTGGTAGAAATAGAGGTGGACTGGTAGAAATAGAGGTAGAAAAGAGACCCATGAGGAGGTTAACAATGGCAGATTTTATCTTGATTTTGCTCTTTTTGCCCCAGATGTACTGGGCTCCTTCTGCCCTTTTCTATGAGTCGCCACCAGCAAGTGCCTTAGGCTTATGGCAGATTTTCTGGCTCAGGGGCTCTGCTTTCAGCTAACCCTGTTTGGCTGGGCATTTACCCCCGAGTGGATAGGTAATTTCGGGTGTTTGATTTGGAAACTATACTCTTTCCCTTCTCTTTGTTACACACTAATTGTATTAAAGTTCCTTTCCATTGAAGGTCTTACACACTAGATTATGTTAGAGCGGGCAGGTTTGGGAATTCATGGGTGCCACTCTCCCTGCCCTGTAACAATTTATTCTTTGCTCTTGACTTCATGTATTAATCCTCTAAGATGGTCTTAAGTGATTCTTACTTCTTGGATTCATGCTCCTCTCACACTGAGCTGTGTAACCAGGTCATAAAAGAAGTTGAAGAATTTTACTTTTACCCTCTTGGATTATTTGCTCTGTGATAAGTCAGCTGCTATTTGTATGCATACTAAAGCAGTCCTAGAGAGTGTTTCACATGGGCAGGGAATGTGGGCCTTTTGCCAACACCAGGACTATTTTGCCAGACTTAGAAGTAAACCATTGTAAAAGCAGATTCTCCAGTCCCAGACAAAGCTTCAGATTACTGCATCCCTTACTGATATCTTGATCGCATGAAAAACTGAGTCAGATTTGCTCTATTAAGCAACTCCTGAATTCCTGAGTCTCACTTGTATAATATAATATGTGTTTAATGCTGTTTTAGGCCACTAAGTTTTGAGGTAATTTACTACACATTGCATAATCAATATGTTCATGTTTATCTTTCTAATCAAATTTGAAAATATTTATACTTCATTTTATTGTATTGACAGAAGTATGTCAGAAACTTAAGGTAGTTTCAAGATCTTTCTAATTCACCCCTTTTTCATAGATGAGTGAACTATGGATTACAACTGTGTAATCAGGTGATAGAAAGCAGGTACTACATTTTAGTGTCCTCATTCTCAGTCTAAGACTCTTTCTGCCTTGGGGAATTGTTCATTCTGGATGTTTCATTTTTCCTCTGGTGGTGGAAGATATCTGAGAACATGTCTTTCAATGTCAGTGTAGTACCACTGGACAACACATTGCACAAGGATATTGCACTAAGGTAGAAATAAAAAATTTTTTTGGTTCTCCCCTGGTGGTGCAGCGGTTGAGCGCTGGGCTGTGAAGCTGCCCGCAGCCTCTGCAGCTCTGCTTCAATCCCCAGCCACTGGCGAGGGTCCCACATAGCATGACAGACCTCTCCTGCAGCGCCCACTGCTCCCTTCAGCAGTGTACTTCGGTCCTTCTGCCTGTTCTGCTCCCGGCTCTGGCTCTGGTGAATTCTCTTACCCTCCCATGCTTCTGACTGTACCCAGTGCTTGTATAAATAAATAAATAAATAAATCTTTAAAAAAAAAGAATTTTTTAAAAATTAGTCAGATATATCTATCCACAGATAAATCTTTACATCACTAAACATTTACATCATTAAGATGTTGAAATGGCAATTCTGATCGCCCCTTTGGAGACTATAGAAAATGCTTGTTTTAACCAGCCTCCTTGAGAAATGTCTCTTAAACAATGAAGCATAGAGAAATCCCTTACCAGCTAACCATTTACTCAGTTTTTTGCATGTAAATTTTTGTTATATCAAAATACTCTCTGCTTTTAAAGTAATAAAGGATTTAAGTTAATCTGATTCACAGCTTTGCCTTTCATCTGATATGAATTGGCTGCTTCTCTGATTTTCTACTTTGAAAACTCTGTAATAGCCACAGATCCAGTCCTGATAATTATAAATTCCTAAGACAAGAACAAATTTTAACTGATAAAACAACAGTACATTAAATGGTTGTTAAATGATACCTATGCTAGCACTTAACCTGAAAGAAGGGTAACTTCCCTGAAAAGAGTATGCTTGGGGTTTTCTATAACTATGGGCATGCATGCAACATCATCTTGTTTCATAGTTAGGCTGGAGCAATGTTGTTCATTTTAATTTCCTTTGTCAATCATACCGGGAAATCAAAGCTGAAGTACTCCATAGTAATGCTCTAGAATAATAGGATATGTGGGCTAAATGCATCAGATTACAATATTGTAGAAACAACCTATAGCATTCTGCACATATTCATGAGGATTTTCCTGACTTGGGTGACAGAAATCTAGCCTCAGCCTCCCAATGATCTGAAAAAAATTCGTTTCCTAAAGACATTGCTCTCTATGTAACGTCTTCCTCAAATATTATAGTCACACTTTCCCCTGAATGGAATATCCAGTATGAAACTAGAGCCATGTAGGCACACTGACAGTCAGTCTCTGCCTTTCTTTACTGCTCACTTTAAAAAAAATATACCATGCTACATTGATAGCAATAGAGACTTTTCCATTCCTTACCAGACTTTGCTGCCACAAACTGTTGAAGGGTGACAAAAAAGTGGAGGGAGGAGGGAATCTATAAATTACTGTAATGATTTTTACTTTGCATTGGATATTCAAAATAGAACTATCTAGAGGGCAAATGTTGGCAGGTGTTAGCAATAGCACATGTATACAATGTGTTCAATACAACTCAAATAAAGTTAGGTACATAATAAACACACAATGAGGACATAATGATTAGAGGTGTCCACCAACCTAAGAATTAATTTCCCAGTGCCCACTGTTGCAAAAATGGTCTCCCCAGAAGCAATATTCTGACCATCAAAGTCCTCTCCCAAAATAGAAATTTGAAAGGAATGATGGATTCTTAAGGTCCTCGCCTTACCTCCTGCTATAATTCTCATAAGAACATACAGCTTAGAATCCTAAATAATACGTAACTG